AAGCTGCTCCTTGCTTCCCTTCCAGGTAACACATAAATTAACTCATCTGAAGCAACCTATGAGAGTCTATGCAAGTTTATTCACCACACTATAGATGGGCTTTTATTCTGAACCAAACAGGTGCTTCGAAAACTTAAATTTTAGGAGGGTTTAAGATAACCCGACAGATTATCAGCCAGCTAATTTAAAAACTGGAATCATCTAAGGGCAACAGCATTCTGATATCTAATATATAAATATGAATAATAAAGAATTTTCAGAGAAATTAAAGTTTTTCCTCTTTATCACTCAACATACACATGTACCTTGAATCATCTCGCTGATTTTATTACATATTCCGACAGCAAAATCCCTGTGGAGAAAAGAAAAGCAGGTGAAATGAAAAATAAAAAATTAAGTCATTAAAAATAGAAAAAAAAACCCCCAAACAAACTACCAAACACTGTGTTTTAACAATTAAAAGTTACACAAAAGAGTGCCTGCCGAAACCTAAGTCTTTTCAGAACCCCTGCACACAGGCATGACCAAATGAGAAAATGAAAGCTTTCAAAAACTGACAAGCAGCACTACACTTTGCTAATATAATTTCTGTCAAATAATTCATGATTAAAGCTGCTATTCCAGTTCTCAATGTCATATTTGAGCTTTCCATTTTAGAAAAAAAAATCGGCTGAACTTGTATTCAGATCTCTTTAGATCATTATTGCACATAATTGTTTTGCTGTAAAGGACAGCACAACAGAAAACAGTAAAGTTTATGAATGTCAGTGTTAATGGAGTTTCCATTCTCTGTAATATGAGAAAGTGAAAAAAACAGTTCTTACTTAGATTGTGCAGAAAAGTTGGCAGCAGCAAATATAGCAGCTTCAACTTCCACATTATCATGGGAATCCAAACTCTGGCGAATGCTGTGATGTGCATTCTTCCTTTCTGGAATGATAGATGCCATGCTGCCCAACATCCTACAGAAATAAACCACAGCAAAATCAGGACAAACAGTGATCAGGAAGAAATGATGAAACCGAATAAAAATGAAAAAAAAGAAAAAAGGTTAAAAGGCTATGTTTATATAAATATGTGCTCTTTCATGACTATTACAGAAATAAACAAATACTATAAGTATGTAGCTAAATTTAACAGATTTTGTCTGTGGGTTGTATCAGTGGTTTGATAAAAATTTACTAACATTTTGATATCTTTTAGCTTGAAATTGGCACAGTGAGAAACTTATAAAAAATTCTTTTAAAATTAAGAGTTCACTACAGCATGATTTATTTCCAACATCTTTCACTGATGTAAGATAAGGTTATTAGTGAAAAAAGTGCAACACTTCTGGTGTAACTGCTAAAAAAGTCTACACTTTGCCAAAAATATTTCAAAGATACCTTTCAGGCATATTTAGCATAATCCCGTTAAAACAAGACTAAATGTAGGATTTATACTGATGGTAATTTTAGCTAGAGTTCTGTGCAAATATTTACACAGTTATCTAGCAATAAAATTCCACAAAGTTTTGTTTAAGCAGCTCTTTCTTTCAACATGTTCTTTATTGACACTATTCAAGGAGGAAAAAAAAAATCAACAGAAGATTTTAAACTGAAACTTCTGAACCAACAGCTATTTTAACATTTTATTTGATGTATCCTGTGAATTTAGTAATTTAAGTTTTTTTGTATACTGAGAGGATTCTTGGGACTTGTAGCAATCTGTGAAGATAACCCTCAATGCCAGTCAACAACTGCAATCTTATATTAGAGCACTGAACAGGAACTACAAAAAATCATACAGACATATTGTATTTACAGATTTCTGAGACACAAAGGCAAGAAAGCATAATCTCAAATGAAATATCAAGAAAAAAAGAAAGGGATATATGACCTAATTGATCAAAGCCCTGTCAATGCCTCCCATCTCCCACTAGTGAAATCAGTAACAGTTCTAGATGGAGGTACAAAAAGAACATAAAGAGAGAAAGACAAATGCTCTCTTCACATTTGAATTCACCTGCTGGAAGATGCAGTTAAGAGGATCGTGTTGGATAGCATTAGAGACAAAGGCACCAAACCAACAGGACAGTGACATGAAAGACAGATTAATTTTATTTATTTATTTTCCCACTTGATTCCCAGAAGTTCAAAGCAATCCATAATATAAGAGCATTTCCTCAGAAGTTATTGATCAGAGATCAACTAGCAGTTCCAGCTAGGACAAGGCTAAATGAAAAATAGGTGCAAGCATAACAAGGTTCATGTAAGTTTTGGCTGCAAGTTAGCAAAAACCATTTTGACACAAAAGGAAGCACTTTCACTCGGTCTAAAAATATCCTAGGCGAAATATGTATATTGCCTATAGCTACTGTCTGGTTTATGCATACAACAGATTCAGTTTTCTTCTCTGGTGTACACAAAATTTCAACACTGCAAATTCTGTCTTGTCTGGGACCATCCATAAAATTCTCATCATAAGTGGTTAATAACCTTGTTCTTGTTATCACTAATCCTTATCATTCATGCCTTTTGAAGACAGATGTCTCTGTTTCTAACTCTATGAGGAATGTATAAAAAGCCTCCTTTATTTCACTCACAGAATCACAGGATGGCCTGGGTTGGAAGAGACTTTAAAGACCATCTAGTACCTTCCACTTCACCAGGCTGCTGAAAGTCCCATCCAACTTGGCCTTGAACACTTTCATGGATGAGGCATCCATAATTCTCTGGGCAACCACAGAAGTTCCAGTGCTTTACCACACTCAACAATAAAGAATTTTTTTCCCAATATCTTATCTAAATCTACTTTCTTTCAGTTTGAAGCCATTCCCCCTTGTCCTGTCACTACAGGCTCTCCATTGTTCTTGCAGGCTTCCCTGAGGTACTGGAAGGCCACAATTAGAGCACCTTGAAGCCTTCTCTTCTCCAGGCTGAACAATCCCAATTCTCTCAGCATTTCCTCATAGGAGAGGTGCCCCATCCCTTTAACCATCTCAGTTGCCTCCTCTGGACTCCCTCCAACAGGTCCATGTCCTTCCTGTGCTGGGGACCCCAGAGCTGGACACAGCACTGCAGGAGGGGGTCTCACCAGAGGAGAACAGAGAGGCAGAATCCCCTTCCTTGGCCTGCTGCCCAGGCTCCTTTTGATGTAGCCCAAAACACATTTGGCTTTCTGGGCTGCCAGTGAACATTTCTGGGTCATGTCCAGCTTTTCATCCACCAGCACCCCCAAGTCCTTTTGGGCAGGGCTGCTCTTGGTCTGTTCATCCCCAGCCTGGACTGATACCAGGCACTGTCCTGGCCCAGATGCAATGCCTTGCACTTGGTCTTGTTATTCCAGACAAGCACATTGATAGCTACCTACAGGTTTGAAGTGAATCAGAATCATTCATCAGATTTGAAGTAAATCAGGATCACTCATGCCGTACATACCGGAGTGTAATAGCCCGAGCAACTGGATCATTGCTATGGATTACTGAGAAAACTCTCTTGACAAATTCATCCACATTTAGGATCTTCTCTAAGTGCTTCTCACTCTGCTGAGTAACTTTCAGCACACACAGCCTCAGGAAGTTGTTCCTGTTAGAAAATACACACATGTCTTTGTCAGGCTATTTTGAAACAAAAATCCAAGTACTTTAAATACTAAATTATTTAACTACAGCTTTTGGAACAAATCAAAACCAGGAGATATCTGTGCTTTACAAACATTTGAGTAGACTGATAGAGTAAAATATTAATATACTATTGCTTTATTTTCTAGTTTACGTAATGTCAAACTAAAGCCCAATTCCAGGGAAATGAACCTGCTAACACCAGTGAGGAGGGGTGTAAGCAAATGCCTGTTTTGTGCACACATACAGATTCAAATCTGCTGGAAAAACACATTCAAGACTAAGACAGAGAAGACTTAATTACCACTGCCAAGTGCTGAGCAAATTTATTTTCCTTCCTGAAGACAAAAGTGAAGATTCCACACCACCAGCGTACACCTTTGTAAGCTTTTAAGAAGCAGCTTTGATTCATATACATAAGCATCATATACTCCACTTAGACAGCAGTCACTTGGAAAAGCTGTACTTCGAGCTTTGTTAGAGATTACATTTGCACATGTGATCACCCATCCATTTATGAGTTACGATTTGGATGTGCTTATTCAAAACAAGCAAAACTAAAACCAGTGAACTTAAACCAGTCAGGGAGAGAATCCTCAGACCAGGACAAATGGAAAGAAACTGTGTCATTACCACTCAAGCCCACTAAAGAAGTGGAAAGCAAGTTCCAATCAAGCACAACCGCAACTGACTGGGTACCACAATGGTGTCAAGCAAGCACGACACGCCAGACTCCACTGCAGCGACACTCCAAGGCACAGTGCGCTCCCAGGATCAGACTCGAATGGGCAGGACCAGACCTTGGGGCAGTACTCACCCCACTCTGAAAACATCGGCCAGCTTTAGGAACGCCGAGTTGATGAGAATGGGGAACGGGTATTTCTGGAAGAGCCTGGGAAAACGAACGACAGCTTCGCACTGCTCCCCGAGCTTGCCAGACCTGAGGCCTAAAGGAGACAGCAGGAATTACCAAAGGTACCTCCAGCCCCGGGTCCTTCCTCCGCCCCCGCCCTGGATAAAGCGGTGCCAAGCGGAGCCCCCATCCCGGCCCCGCTGCCCGGGCCAGCGACAGCTCCGAGCCCGCGCTGGCTCACCTTTGTCCAGCTCCATGAGGGCGGAGTTGGCGTCCAGCTCCTGCTCGCCATAGCCCGCGTCGGCCAAGAAGGACTTGCCGCTGGCCGCCATTGCTGCCGCCGGCCTCGCGCACGCGCTGCCGCCGCGCCCGCTTGGCGCAGCCGCGGGAACGGGCGGCGGGCGCTGGCGGCGGGTGCTGCCTGCAGGCCCCGCCCAATAGAGGAGGTGGGCGCCGCGCTGCGCGACCAATGAGGGCGCGCGGAGGATTTGGCGGGCTGGTGGTTTGGCGGGAGCTGGCGCAGCGCGCCCCTAACGCGAACGCGTCTCCGTGGCCATGCTGTGCCGCGCGCTGCTCCGCCGCGCTGTCGCGCCCGCCCGTGAGTACCGCCGGCCTCGCCGCCACTGCCGCGCCTTTCCGCACGCCCTCCCGTCCCCATCCGTCCCCGGCCGCCTGCACAGCCGCGGCGGCCGCCTCGCGGCTCGTGGCGCCCGAGCCTGTGGTGTCTGAGGCGCTTAAGGGTCTGTCTGTCCCCTTGTAGGTCGGTCCTCAGCGCTTCCCCTGCATCATCTCTTGGAGAGCTACCAGTGCAGCCAAGAAGATGACCACCTGTCTTACGGGGAAACGGGAACGCCGGTCCCTCCTTTCGGCTGCGCTTTTTCTACAGGTAAAGTCGCCTCCTGAAAGACCTTTGGTGGGGCCCAGGGTATGGGCTCTGTTGTCTGCAGTTTTTTGTTTTAAAGTGAGCTTACTCCTGCAGTGTGCTTGCTCCTACACGTGATAAACTTTGGATCGTGGTGCACCTAGATACTGATGGAATACAAATAAGCAACTGTAAAGCATTTATTTTAGTGTCTCTTTGTTTCATCTGTGTGTGTTTCAAGGTGTGTCCTCTTGGTGACAGTGTGAGGCTACACAGGTGAAAAACTGGGCTTTGTTCACAATATATAAAAGCTATAATAGGGTGGAGAACATTAGGTAGAAGTCAGAGGTGAGTGGATGTTACCAGGCAGTTACACACAGCATTTCCCCATGATGGGGGAAAGGAGTAAGCAATGAAGCTCCTGGATCTTTAGGGCAAAGCTTCTTCATTCATTGTACTCTCGTTTTGGCATGACCTTTTATATTTCTCTGAGGTGACTTCCTGCTTTTTCAAGTCAGATCATGGAAAATGCTGGAGGCTGTAGATGATAGGTACTCTAGATACAGAAAACTATTATAGCTGGTGAAAGAGGGATCATCTCAAAAATTGCTTCTGGAGCCATTTGATTGCCCATGTATAGTCATTCCTGAATGGAGCATCTAGAAAAAATGCTTGCCAGTATTTCTGTATTTTAACACTTAGGTTGCTATGTAAATGCTGTTTATTTTACAGTTTTATGTTTGCTGCATTCCCTATTTAAAGCATCTCTGGCTTTCACAAAGAGCATGGGCATGATTTTGTGTTAGCTGCATAACATAATATGTTTCCATTTCTTTTCAGCCCCAAATTTGGAGCACGTCCTGGCAGTTGCAAATGAAGAAGGGTTTGTTAGACTGTATGATACTGAAGCACAGACCACCAGCAAGCTCATCTTTAAGGGTAAATGTTGTATAGAAAGTGATCTTCATTTGATGTGGCAAATGTGGGATTTGCTGGAATCAATGAGAGCTTTTTGCAAGTCCTTAAAACGTAAATTGTAGGCAGTACTTTATTCCTTCCACAAACTTTGCAGAGTCTTCTTTACAAAGCAGCAGCCTGAATGCACTCTTTTAAATCAGCAGTAGTAGATGCATTATTCTGTATTGTCTTTCATGCTTAAGGCAAACTGTTGACAAGCTTTCTGATTTCAGTGTCTGATGTCATTTAGTCTTCTGCAAAATACCATCCTGTGATGCACAGAACTAATCTTCGTTTTTGTTTTCCTGTTAGAATGGCAGGCTCACTCAAATGCTGTATTTGACCTTGCCTGGGTGCCAGGGGAACACAGGATTGTAAGCAGTCTTTTGCCATCTGACTTTTTTTTTTAATGCTTTGGCAACTGTGTACAGAAAATGACTTAAGCTTTTTATTTTTTCCTCTGAAGGTCACTGCTTCAGGAGATCAGACAGCCAAGGTGTGGGATGTGAGAGCTGGCGAGCTTCTTGGCATATGCAAAGGTCACCAGTGTAGCCTCAAGTCAGTTGCCTTTTCTAGATTTGAGAAAGGTAAATGTTGATATTGCCTGTTGTCTGTTTTTCCCTTCTTCTTTACCCCAGGCAAAGTACTTTAAGGGCTAAAAAAGGGCTTTGGAAGCTGACAGGTACCAATAGCACAGGCCTGAGCAGTGACCCAGCCAGGAAAGCAAAACTGTCTAGTTGGAACTTGATGGGGTCCTGATGCTAAAATCTGCACATTTCTGGTCTTGGGCAAAGATAAGATAGGATATCTGCTTCCATACCCAAGTGTGTGAATATGCTTTCCATAAGCTGGTTTCTGTAGTGGGAATAAGAAAAGGATAGTAAGAGTAAGGAAACAAGTCAAAAAGCATGGCAAAACAATGGCCTGAGTTTTGTATTTCCAGGACTGGCAACCCAGGTGTTGGGACAGAAGAGCCAGAAGTATATAGATGGCATTGTACTGCATTCAGTTAATTGAATAAATGCTTTTGGAAGCTAATAACACTTTTTTTCTCTCAGCTGTTTTCTGTACTGGAGGGAGAGATGGAAACATCCTGGTTTGGGATACCAGGTGCAACAAGAAAGGTAAATAAACTTTCAGATATGTATCAAAAAAGCTTGGTATCTCATGTAAAAGGACTGCTCAGATGGGCTTGTTGGGCTGATGGTTTTGATTACAATGTAGGCAGCAGAGGATTCTCAGATAACTATAGTGCTTTAGGTACTGTAAGAGGATGGAATAGGTATCTCTGCTATCTATGTGTAATACATTTCTCCACTTTGCAGCAGTCCCAGATGTGCAGCATCAAACCACAGGCTGGTTTGATAATTCCCTGTGTGTAGGTCAGGAGGTGAGGCTGTACAGAATGCATTCTGCTAGAGCGGTGCAAAAGCAGATGAGATAGGAGAGATTGCTTAGGTCACAGACATCCAGAGGGGTGAGGAAAAGCTGGAAAGGCTCCTGCCAGAGTAGGAAGGAAGGCAGAAAGTGTAGAAAAAAAGAGCTTGTGAGTGCTGGTAGCAGCTGAAGATATTGTGGGAGCACCTACTATAAATATGTGAGCTCATTCTACTCTTCTGCTTCCTGGAGCTTTTCCTTCTCCAGGCCCTTCCCCTTATGCCATTTCCCAGTTCTCTGCTCTGCCACAGCAGTTTCTTTGCCTGAACAATGTCTTGCTCTTCCATCTGTATCAGGTTCCCTGGCTTTTCAAACAGGCAAGTGAAGGAAAAGTTGACTGACTCCACATGATTCAAGTGGAAGGTGTAGAGGAAAAAAAGTATAAAAGTTGCCTTACTCCATCCAGTAAGACAATACGTTTCATAAGGTAACAAGAAAAAAAGCCAAACTGGAAATTATAAAATAGAGTAGAAAAGCACTGGAAGTCTTCCAGTGAGCACAGTTCTGCTTGGGATGAGGTGGGTTGAACACTCCAGACCAGGATGCAAGTGAAAAACAGGCCAAGGGGTAACAATTTCCAAAGGCAGCCTGCCTAGATTGGTTTCATTGTCCATGCTACACTGACCTCTAGTTTTTTGCACTGTGTTCTTCTCACTGGTTTTGTATGTAAGTAATTTTTGTTTTCAGAATACAGTAATGATTTTAAAGGTTAACCTAAGCCACCTTTTAAGTCTAAGCCCAAGCTGATGCCTGTTTTATTAAAGCGATAGCAAAATTGCAGGTAAACTGCTAATTGAGATGTCTTTGATTTCTTTCAGATGGCTTTTACAGGCAGGTGAATCAAATCAGTGGAGCACACAACATGGCTGACAGGCAGACTCCTTCCAAACCAAAGAAGAGGCAGAACCTGAGAGGACTTGCTCCCTTGGTGGTGAGTATCTGGGCAACAAACAAAATGTCTCTTCTGGGGACAGTGAATTCACAGAATTCTTCCTAAGTAAATATAGTGAGAAATATGTGGCTTGTATGTGGTAAATGCTTCCATTTATCTTTGCACAGGTAGGGTTTTTTGTCATGGTCATTTGCAATGGCTAATTTTAGACATTGTTTAGTTAACAACCCACGTGCCATAAAAGCCAACTTTGGGCAAATGCTATGTGAAAATACATCTTCTTTCCCCTCCGCTCCAGGGAGGAGCGGAGTGGCCAGCATTCCCTTTTTGAGGGGAGAGATATGGAGTTGTACATTTTTTTCTGTCCTTTTTTTCTCCTTTAATTTGACCAGGCACATTACTGCCTTACTGGAGTAAGACCTGATCATTTTTAATCTATGAAACTTTCGGATGAAGGCAGCTCTCTTATCTGTGAGCTGAAAGATGTAATCTCAAACTGCTGCCCAAACACTTATCTCTCAGTGGCAATTTCACTGGTAGGAGTGTACAAAGCATTGCTGTGTCCTAAATGACATCTGCTGTTTCTATGTTCTGCTGCCTGGCTAGAAGGAGGTTTTCCTGGCATTCACATGGCCTTGAACTAAGCAGCAAGATCTTGCTGACCTTAAAAGAAAATAAAGTTCTTTTTTCTTCTTTTTAAGGATTTCCAGCAGAGTGTAACTGTGGTGCTGCTTCAGGATGAGCATACTCTTATCTCTGCAGGAGCTGTTGATGGGTAAGGAGGGAGGATGCCTGCTTTCCTGTCTATTCTGTGTGCTCAATGGCATAAAAAGATTGGGAGATATTTCTCTCTAAGATGGCTCAGTGGCCAACAAGGCCTAGAGCTACTGCTAGGTGGAATCAACAGCTATGCTGCCAGCTTGCATTGGCTTTACTTCCTTACTGGAGATTGCAGTACTGGACAAACTGTGGTATGTGGTAAATGCTCATTTTAGTCTTAGCTATGGGGCAGAATTAAAGCAATTCTTCCCTCTCTCACTCTATTCTCATGAACCTATGAGACCACACAAAGACTATTGTTAGAGAGCCTTTATGGATGTGAGTGGGTGGTCAGGGCCTGGACATGTGTAGGCATGCTTGAGAAAATGTTTCTTTGAGTTACAAAAGATGCATTCTCTTAGGTGCCAGATCCCTTGCAGCATTTTGGAGCTTGAGCAGACTGTCTTAATGATCAGCATGGAAATGATCCTCTTGGACTCGGTTCTTTAGCAGGTTCCATGTGGTCAGAGCCTTTCTGAGGCAGATAAGATTGACTGTCCTACCTGTGGTTCATGACAGAGACTTGCTCCCAAAGAGCAAGTAAAAAAATTGGAAGACTTAATTTTTAAAACTACAAACTAAAACTACTTGTCAGAAGTATAAGTGCACCCATGTGTTTCCTTTTACTAGTTGAAGGAAGTTGGCTTCTAGGCTCTTGTTCTGTCTCGAGTTGGTTACAGAAGGGAGTGCTGCCTCCTCGCCCATGGCCAGCAGAGCAATTGTTTGGCTTTCAGTACGGCTCTGCTCTGCTCCTGCTCAGCTGTTGTCTCCTTAGCACTGGATACTCCTCAGTCAAGAGCAATTGATTTCTGTGCTCTTAAAAGGCTTTATCAGCATGGAAAGGGAAATTAGGAAGCTGAAGACACTCGTGCTTTTCTATTCCAGTGTGATCAAAGTGTGGGACTTGCGCAGAAACTATGCTGCTTTCCGTCAGGACCCGCTGCCCGTCAGGTCCTTCTGCTACCCTGGAACCAGCACTCGCAAGCTTGGTAAGCACTGGACATGGATTTGTTACAGTGCAGAGTGAATTTAAGAAGTACTATCAGTGACATTTCTTATCTTTATAGCCAATTGTTAATCAGACTGGCAAACTCTGCAGGGTATTTTGATTGCCAATATCAAATTTTCAAGTTGAAGAGTGAACATGCCTGACTTTTATATCACTGCACCAATAATAAAAATGTGCAGAAGCTTCAGCAGTGCATTTTCGTAAACAGAGTGGAGGAACAGTAGAGCTCTTGATGAGGAATTTAGCTAGTCAATTTGATACATGAGTAAAATTCAGATTGAATTTTCTTTGCATTGTATCTTGCAAAGACAGCAGAATGGACTGGGGTTTTATATTATCACCTCTTGTAACTGTTGTCAAAAATGATAGCACACTTGTTCATGTTTCTTCTTTGTACTTTTAATGCCTTACGATGCCATGATGCAATGCAGTAATTCCTGATTTGTCTGATCAATGTGGTAATGGTCAGTGTCACTCCCAAGAAGGTAGTTGTGAAATAATTTGCCTGCAGGGAAAGATTTTTATTGAGCCTGAATCACTAACAAATCAGAGAATGGCGTGTTCTACCAAGGCATGAGGGTTTCTCTTTATTTTTGGTCTCTGCTTCTGCAATTTGTTGTTCCTGTTATCTGTTTGAAGCTATCAAATAAATCACTTGCCTGTTTTGAAGGTGCAATTCCTTTCTAAATACCACCCTGAATTGTCATGAGAAAATGTAGATGTTATTCTAGAAACATTTCTTCTTCAGCAAATGCTCTGTCAAACATAGAAACTTTACCATGACAATCTCATACATTTTACAGATCCTTTCCAAATTTCCTTCTCTGGGCATTTTTTTGAGAATGTCTCTTTTCCAATTTTTTCTCTTCTGAAGAACTTCTCTCTTTCTCTGTAGGATATTCTAGCCTGGTTTTGGATTCCACTGGTGCTAATCTGTTTGCTAACTGCACTGATGACAATATCTACATGTTCAATATGACAAGTTTAAGGACCACTCCAGGTAAGCATGATATCTGTGGAAATAGCTGCAAAAAGTATAGATGATACAGAGTGTAGAAAGGTAATTCCTCTGACAGAGAGACAGGGACCAGGTTCAACACGAAGGAAACCTATTCCATGCTCCTATCTCTAAAGCTATGCGGGACAGATCCACATTTTGTGTTAAGCCATCCACATGAAATTAATAGTAGATACTGGTTCACCCAGACAGAGACTGATGGTAGTTTGCATATTAGCTCTAGTTATCCAGTGAGGAATGGCTGCTCTCCAGCCTGAAGGAAGTTTGAATCCTCTGCTTACTGGCAGTCACGGATTTGTCAGACTTTTAGATATGAATCCACTGAAAGTGATCACCTGATAATTTCAGATATTTTAAGGTGTCTTTTCAGTTTAACTTATACCACGGTTTCTGGAAGAAAGGATCCCTTGCATACTGAGGTGCTTCATCCTTTCGGATTCCTTCAGCTCTGCAGCTGTGACCTTTACATGCACAAGATGGCCCTGAGCCTTTGGTGCACGAAGCTGCTTTGCCACAGGCCGGTGGCAAAACTTGTTAGATGCATTCCAGCCAGACACGTAATTTATTTTCCATTGCCATTTCTCAGTCTCTCAGTTAACTGAAATTAAATGAACAATGTGTCCTTCTGTCTGCTCTTCAGGAAGGCAGTCTGGTGGGTGGGAATGCTTCCAGAGCGCAGAAGTGTTGCGAGTAGTAAATATTAATAGCTTGGTTGTTGAGGTTAACCCCGGGTGCTGCTGGCTGCTCTGTGGGGGTGGGCTGCCTGGCCTGTCCCTCACAGGAGCAGCTCTGGCCAGCGCAGCCCCTGGCTCCTCACGGAGCTCTTGCCTTGTGTGTGCAGCCAGGGCGAGCAGCCCCGTGCTCCAGCTGGATGGAGCTCCTCGGAGCGCAGCGTGCAGCTCCCGCAGAGGGCAGTGCCTGCCCGCCCTTGGGCCGCCCTCACCGCAGCTGCAGCTGCTCTCATCCAGCACTGAGGCAGATCCAGTTGGTCAGGAAATCCTCCTGTAACAGCACTTGCTGCCTGGTTTAGCAAGGGATTCGCTGTTGATGGTCACTGCACTGGGAGAGCTGTGGGCAAAAAGAATCAAAGGGTATTTTGGGGTCTTGCAACTCTTTAAAGGCCACCGAAGGCAGTCACATGTCCTCTTCGTCTGTGGGGTGTTTCCTCTGTGAGAGCCTCTACTAAACAGGGCTGAAGTGCCAGCCCAGCCTGGGGCTACCCCGGGAAACTTGTGCTCTGTGCCCCATGAGGGGAAAGGACATGGTGCAGCCAAGCACTCCAGATCACACTTGGCTCTTGTGCCAGCGGAAGGCCATTGTGGTGGGGGAATGTCGGCCATTTGGGGTGATGGTTTCAAGGCTTTAGCAAACACTACTAAGGCTTTAAATACAGGAGAACGTGACTGACAAAATACAAGTTTTATCGATGAAATAAAGCTGCTGGCAGTGAGAGGAAGGAGCAGCCAGTGCCTTTGTTGCCACCTGTGTGGAAGAAGGCTCTTGCTGCGGGACTGGTGATGGCGGCTGAGGGAGGAAGAGGCAGGGAACCTGAACCAGAGGAGAGGGGCAGCCCAGGTGAGGGCTGAGCCTGGTTGTGATGTGGGTCAGGGTAGAACTTTAATGAAACTGCCATTGGTTTGTTTGGGAAGCCTGAAGGGCTCCAGATGAATAATCAAAACTTCCTGCTGCCAGAGCCTCAGAGCAAGGGAGCAGTGCAACCACTTTCTCCAAAGGATATGTGGCTAGGCAGGAAAAGCCTGTAAGATCAGCCTTCCTTGCACAACTGACTCCAGGGCTATGCATTTAGTGGGGATTTTACTTATTTTTGTATTTTATTTTCTCTTCACAGTGGCAGTTTTCAGTGGACACCGGAATTCAACCTTTTACATCAAATCCAGCACCAGCCCAGATGACCAGTTCCTGCTCAGTGGCTCAAGTGACTGCAACGTGTACATCTGGAAGGTGAGGCAATGGGGGAGCTGCTTTTGCTTTTCATGTTCACATCGAACACTCCTTGCTTCCCAATCCTACCCAAAGCAGCGTGGGGCTAGCTCCTGGCATGTTGTGCCTGGAGTGTGTATGTTGCTGTCAAGGCTTCGTGTAATTGCTTAATGTAAAACAGAGCTAACCTCCTGCCATCAGTACGTCTCTCATCACTGCTGCTTATTGCAAATTGCTGTTCTTAATCTGGTTTTAATGGGCATTAAAATCTTCTTTCAGTCCTGTTGATTCAGGCAGCTATGACAAGTAGACAGACAGGTGTCAGTTCATAGTTAGCAGTGGAGCACGTTAGCAGAAACCTAAAAGTTTAATTGTTTTAAAGGGCACTCTTTCCCTCCACCTCTCCCTTTTCCAGCTCCTGCTTCAGACATAGCTTTATCTCATGCTTAATTTACAGTAGTAAAGCCTTTGTATTACAGCAAGGGCTCAGCCAGAGCCTTCAGCAAAATTCCAAAGCACTGTCTGACAGCTCAGGGTCTTTGTCACTTAACATCTTGCCATGACGTGTAGGAAATGTCACCAAGATAGTAGCAGGCACCTCAGAATAAGGCATGCCTTAAGTTCTGTTCTTCATGTTCTTCATGTTCCTCATAAGTGCCCTTAGTGAAGTAGAATAGACAGAAACCACAGGTGACTGCCTCTTAAAGTTTTGGGATAACTTTCAGGGAATGTTGATATATCCATCCATTTCACAATGAGTTTGAAAGGAAAATACAAACCTTTCAGAGGAGAGGGTCAGCCTGCTGAGGTTGTGGTTTGAGCACGTAGCCTCTTTATTTTGGAGAACACTTGGAAGCAGCTGGGTTGCTCACTCAGTGGAGGCAGGAGTGTGGTAGCAGGATTACTGTGCCAAATGGTGTAATTTTAACCTTCCTTGTGTTCTGCGCAAATTCAGCAATAATGCCTGTGTGAGCTTGAGTTGCACATTTTGCATTCATTGTTTTGATACTTTCCTGGAACTAGGCTGGGACTCAGTTGGGAGCATTCAAGGATGTCATTATACCTCAAAATTTAAGCATTTGAGCACATTTAAAATGTATTCATGTACAGAAGGCTTCTGTTGCTATCACATATGAGTGACAGATCGTATTGCATATTTATAAAATGAATTATCAATTTTTTTTATTTTAATACCATAGTCATATTAGAAAGTGGGACTTCCAGTGTATTTGTCTCTTTCAAGATCTGTCGTATTCAGAGGCTTCTTAATTTAAATGTTGACAGATTTGACTGAAACGTATGTATCTTTTCATGGCATGAGGATTTACTATGCTGTGAAGAAAACCGTGGTTATATTATGCATGAGTAGTTAACAGATAATGTTATAATGACCTTAATGAAGAGCTCTTTCTGTATCTGGAGAGGAATAAAATGCAGAGGAAGACCTTTTGTACTTAGATGACTTCTTTGAGAAACTTTTACAGCAGTGCTACGTTTGTGTTTGGATGAGAAGCACTGTGGATAGAAGTTATTGCTGACAAGGATGCTGTTTCAGTCTGTTTTCATATATATGTCACTTCCAGGCAATGAACACTTCTTTTATTGTGTATGGTTTGGTTTTTCTTTTAATTAAAAGTTCATCAATTAATGAACTCTCACTCTTGAACAACCATAAGGTTATACAAGCTGAAGAGCAAAGAGGTTTTTCTTCACAAAAATGGTGCCTATCTGAGGTACCTTCCTGGTAATAAAACAATGCCATTTGTAGATTTGTGCTTCCATTGTTCTTTCAATCCTTTGATGTGGATCATTCTCAGGAAACCATATCAAGTTTTGCTTTGGTGTGTCCCAGTCCTGGAACGGAGGGGATTCTGTATCATATGGTGCACAAAACCATAGACACCATTTTAGGCTGCATCTTGAAAATGGATGTAACAGCTGTTTCCAGTGAGGAGAGTAACTAAAAAAGGTCTCATTTCCTAGGTTTCTCTTTTTAACCTTGCCACAATAGGCCTCACTTCCCCAACAATATCCTGTCAATTCAGGCACAAAAAGCCGCCTGTGCTGTGGCTAATCCTGACTTAACATGCAGAGTGCCTGACAGTCTTCTGCCAAACACAGTGGACACAGCCATAACTCTGCACTCTTCTTCACTTCACAGGAATATAAATTGGGTATAGTTCCTTTAATTTACACTGCTATAGTGTAAAACCACCGTGTCCTAGAAAGAGTAATTCCCTTCTTCTGCTTTCCTTCCAGCAATCAGTGGTTACTGGACCACTGTTTTGGCTGCTATGAATGTATAATAGCAAGACTGCTATTAACTGTAAGTGAAGGTGTTCTCTGCACAAAGATCTCCTGTTTATTCCCTAAATAAGGATTTAATTTCCATTGCATGTTTTGGCAGTGAAAGGAATGCTCTGACCAAGGCATTTAGTGGATATTTAGTCAAGTAATTGCCTCTATCATGCCAGGGGGAAAAAAGGGTCCTGTTAAGATGAACATGTTTGTATCAAAACAACTTAAGTTCTGAAGCTGCAGTTTTGCAGGCTGTTGTGGATGATCTACAAGAGAAAAATGTAAATCAGTAGCCTTCCCCAAAGTCTTGCATCTTCCTTTGAAACCTATATATAATGTCTACTCCTTTTCCCAGACAGTATAAGATCTGTTCATTCCCTTATCTAAACCTTATCTAAATCCCCTTGATAAATCTCCCCTGTAATGTCACATCAATGATGGTGACTCACAGTTCCAGAAAGGATTGCCTGCTGAAAGCAAGCAAAACTTGGATAGAATCGGAGTGTGTGTGTGTGTTTTCTCCTTTGGGCCACTTCAGCTCTGTCTGTCACTTACAGGAGCAGGAGTCAAAGATAAGTAGCAGTACTGTAGAACAGGAGAAAGATTTTTATGAAGAGTGTGAGAGAAATTGAGATCAGTTGAACGAACGTGAGTGATTGAGAGAGCTTTCCTATGGACTCTTAAGAGGGTCTCTGCTGCAGCTGGCTGGTTGGAGAAGGAACAGGCACTTGGCAGTTTCACAAATGCCGGTTTTGAAGCCATTGGAAGGTCATCTATGAGATTTTGTTGGCAATGTTTTCATTTTTTTAATAAACCATTGACCTGTGATTGGGACATTGGTAAAATTGCAGCAGAATATATTTGCCTAACCCGATTCAAAATATGAACCTCCCAGCATCTCACCTGGAACAGGTAGAGGTACTTAAAATGCTTGTCTCATGGTCTGGGCTGTCAGCTCTGGAGGCAGAATTCCTGTGTGTAGCAGGACTTGAACAAGTGTTAACATGAACTGCTGCTGAGGAGTTCCTCAGCTGTTGCCTCATGATGACAGGCTGAGATAATTTGATTTATGCAAGACAGGAAAGATGGGAAGTATCCACATGCTTCACAGGTGGGACATGGGGTTTTTCTTGGAGACGTATATTAGGCTGTGTGCATTCTGACTGTTTGCTTGTTTTCCTGTGAAATTTTTAAGGTTTCTGAGCCCAGCCTTCCTCCATGGATACTCCTTGGTCACTCTCAGGAAGTTACCTCCATTGCTTGGTGCCCTTCAGACTTCACTAAGGTTTGTCTTCTGCAAAATGGTTTTTACTGGGAAACAATAGATGTGATGTGACAACAGCATTTGTTTTTTTGGGAGGAAAATTTTAGTCAATCAGTTCTAAATGTTCATTTAGGAGACAGTAATAAAACCATGTCATATTAGCACAATGTATCAGATATTTTCAAATAATTTTGGCTAATTGAGAAATCCTAAGAAATTGAAAATGAGAAAAGACCTCTCCTGATGAGAGTTTGATACTATGTATAAGAGACAAGACTATGAAATAATTTAATCAGGGCTTTCATAAGCCAAAGGCTTGTTTTTTTGTTCCATATTCACATCTTCCTTTCCCTCTGACCATTGATACATCTGCTAGTCTTGTACAGAGTGGCAAGAAGTTTTGAATGCCCTTTAAAAACATATGGACTCTTTTCATTGTGACCTCTTTTCAAAATCAGAGCTGCTTTTATGACAAAAAGAGCCTCCAGTGAAATTGGGTCAGTAGTTATGCACCAGGTGTCACTGAAAGGAAAACAACAGAAGCAGGAAGTTAGTTCAAATGTTTGGCCTAGCTCAAAACTAGAAATAACCCTGAAAAATCCCAAGCAGTGTCTTAATGATAGCCAGAGTTTCTTCCACCCCACAATGTTGAAGAAGTCAGCTTCTTTCCCTAGCTTCCATTGCAGCACCAGAGCTTCAGAAAAGCATTACAGTGTAGGAAGGTGGGAGTCTTGCAGGGAAACATCAGGAATTGTTCTCGTGTAAGATGCATAATATGAGAACTGGCATTTCAGATGAAATCTGTGATCTAGAGGTAGCCCAGCATCCTGATCGTGGTGTGTTGGAAATGCAGACCAATTCAGCCTTTCACATTGTTACTGACACAGGGAAGAAATAGTCAGCCATTGTTCAGATGCCAAAGCATGAGGAAAAGTGAAAAATATGGAGCTAAGACAGGTCAGGAAGCTGCTTCATGTGATTTGAGGAGCAAGATTGCTTTTGGTAGGGACAACATTGGTGTGACAAAAGTCAGAGTAGACACTTGCCCCATACTGATCGCTATGAACTTTCACCACAGCATTTCCTTTTTCTTTCTACTGATTGATTCCTTGCTGAGTCGCCAGCTAATCTGCCTAAAGACAGCCATAAAGTGTGGGTTAGATGGGTGCTGCTCCTTTGGCCAGGATTCCAGAGATCTTTTTGGAGCACATGATGCTGCAGTAGGGCTCTAGAGCTGTGTTCCTGGCAGAGTTGGGTTCTCTGCCAGATTGTGCTGACATTTGACTCTGAAGAGATAGCACAGCTCATGCAGCAGCCATCCAATGTCACCTTCTTGGTGTACTGCAAAATGTTTGTCCCCAAGCAGAAGACGTCCTCAGCAAAAGAGGCAGATTAAGATGCAGGTGCACAAAGGATCATGGCTGCTTTTGTCTAACGAGGGTTTGAAATCCCAAAATGTGCCATGCCCTGAGCAGAGCAGTGTTTCTTACATAGCCATGCAAAGCAAATGGTTGGTGGTGGCTGAGATTTCTGTATCAGAAAGATATGGGTGCAGCAGCCTTGCCTGCTTTAAAACAAATACTCCTGCCTGGTGCAGTAATGAAACAGAGTTGGGTTTGTTTTCATTGTTTAATGGTCAGTCTTGTACCCCTTCAGCCAAGCTTCACACCATCATTCATACTGGTGTTGTGTGTTGGAGGGAGCTGCCCTGGTTCACTCAGCCAGTGATCCATAGGATGTGCCCTGGTTACTCTAACACACAAATTTATACTTAGATTGCTACATGCTCTGATGACAACACTGTGAGGATTTGGCGTTTACAACGTTGTCCTGAGGAAGAGAAATCAGGATCAAGGAAAGCCAACTTGGTGGGCTGGGTCACTCAGAAGAAACCAAAACAACAACATGGAGCAGGTAAGCCCCCTGAGCTGAGATATCTTGCTCTGCAACATGGCTGCTGAATTTTGTCTGTTGGTTCTCTGTACCAACAAAAGCCTTTGACTTGTCTTATTAGCCTTCTGAGGTTTTTCTCATATTAGGCAATTACTCATATAGCCAGACAAGAACTTCTACTTGTGAATACTTCTGCCATCAACAGGACAAGCTGCCTGAAGTAGCTTACAAGCATGGCAAAGTCTGTATGGCCAGACTGCAAAGCAGATATTCATTGACACAGCTTGTTGGGCAGCCAGGTCTTCAGTGGGTTTCAGCAGAGTTTGATAATTGAACAGCCTAAGGAGATGTCACTGTAGCAACAACTCACTTTTTTTTATTTTCCTATCAAATACTAACTGAGAGCAATAAGATCATATGCTTTTTCTAGTTTGGTAGTTTACCCAGCAAAGGGCTGACAGCACATGGAGAGCCTTGGAACTCTGACCTGTTTGTTTCTGCCTATAGTTGAACTGTGCACAGAGTAATTTTTCAGGTGCAGTTATCAGTATTGTCTCTCTTTCTTCAGCTTCAGTCAGTGGTACTGACCACATACAGCCAAATGAAATGCTGTGTAGTGAAGGTACTTTAAAAAAACCGTGTAGACAATCATGATGATTGTAATGCCCCAGAATTAATCTGTTAAGTCTAGTGAACAAATGCAGTACCTTTGTACAAAGCCTGGGCACTCAGACAAGTTGTGCAGCATGTTCTGAGCTAGCAAGCAGATGTGTAGAGAAGGAAGTCACTAAGCAGGTAGTACCTTAGAGGAGAAGAAAGGAACCCTGATCATAATATTACCTGTGATTTGTCTGTTACCTGCATTTCGTTGCAGTAGACAGGTGAAAGGAGGAGAACTGCCCTCTCCCCAAAGTGAAGTAAGATGAGCTTCTCTGCAGAGTAGCTCTGAAACTAAGAATACAATAGCTTTCCAGCAGCTGCTGCTGTGACTTCCTGCATTCCACCTATCTTTTCGAGCCACCCTCTAAATGCATTTCTTCTTGGCTAGCACAAATAAAGGCTGAAGGTCTCCAAATCCCACTAATGGGATAACATTACCTCTAACCTTTCGCCATGAGTAACAAGTCTAGCAGGAAGTTTGCAGGACAATGGGAGGGAGAGTGCCAGGACCACTACATAGCTGGTAATTGTTTTGTGTGTGCAAAATTGTTTTGTGTGTGCAAATTGTTTTGTTTTTTGAGCCCTCAGAGAGTGCTCAAAAATACCTTCGTGTTTTAGTGCCAGAAAAACAGAAATAAGCATAGATTTAGACCAAAACCATGAGATCTAAAGTATCTTATACATGAAAATTTTATAAGTCAGGTTTGGCAAAAAAAAAAAAAAAGAAAAAAATACTTATTTCTCCTTGCTCTTGCTGCATTAAAGTAACACAGGAGGGAAGAGGAAGTACACAGACACTGCAAACACAAGAGCAGGCTTCCTGCTGACCTTGGCTCTTGAACACAAAACACGTGCTGTTAGAATATAGGAGTTATCTGCAGAGACTAATTCAGAGCTGGCAAGCAGAGGACTATTTCAGACCTGCTGGGATGAATCTAGGTAGTTCCCCACGCATTTCTGACGAACAAATTAGGAGATTGAGGTTGTGTATTGATTGTTGACCTATATCATCAAGTGTAATAAGCAGAGTTTCCTATTTGGCAATTACTTCCGTGGTTTCTTTAAGTTGTACTATTTTCTCTGTGGTTTTGTGTAACCAAATTTCTGGAGCAGGCCTGTGTATAGAAAATTTGTGAATCTTAAATCTGGAAATTGATAATACCACTCTAGAAGATTTGTGGCAGAGAAGGTCGGAAACATCCAAAATAACCTGCTTTGGTGTGATGTAGGTTGACTGCAGGTATTTACAGTATTATACCATGTGCAGTGGCAGCATAAATGGAAACAGCTTCAAACTGGCTTGGTAGGAACCTGAATCATGCATGCAGTCTTAGAAAAAAAAAAAAAAAAAAAAAAGCCTGATCTTCATATTCCTAATCTCAAATTTGTGTTTGCTTCTTGGATGACACTCATCCTACTCCCAGGATAATTCTTTTTCCATTATCCAGTGTGTCCACAGCATAACTTCCAGACCAGTTTGGGATTCAAAGTGCTCATACCCAGCTAGTCATGCAATATTTCTGCTAAATGAATTTGTCATAGTCATTATGGATCAAGAGGTGCTGAGCTTGCTGTTTTCTTCCCCTCTAGGAGCTTAGATTTTTGAGAGCAACTAATTTCCCAGCTGAGTTATTATTGTCTTGTAAATGCTCATTAAACCAAAGATTAGGAGAAGAAATCTTGGCAGTTATATTTGCATAGCCCAGATTGAAGCAAGTTGTTATGAAGTAGCATATCTTACCAGGAAAGGAGCCTTTAACTCTATTTTTTGTGTTGAAGTTATTTGTAGTGGGAATCTTTAATATGGGATCCTATTCAATTTTGTTCTGATGCAGCACTTGTATTTTGGATGCAGTACTTGTATTCTGATGCAGTACTTGTATTTGGGTACTTGTTAGATAATACAGTGAAAGGATCAGAAGAGTTTTAGTATAGTATGTAACCAGGCCTGTAGGTGCTCACTCAACATGTTGTTTGTGAGACAGCCTAGCGTTGTAAAGAAACTGGCAGGTTGCTCACACTAGACTTCTCATTGTTCTAATGGAGTGCTTTATAGTGCAGTGCTAGTGCTCAGAGAGGGGAGTTTTGATTAAACTCCTGGTACACACAAAAATTGTAGTGCTCTTGTGCCCAACAGTGAAAGTGCACAGAGTAACTTCAGGCACTACGCCATTTAATTGCATCACCACGGATTAGGTGAATGAGAAAGCAGGAATCTTACAAAGTTAATAATGTATTCCCTGTGGGAAGGGGCTGGAGATAAAAACATCTGAAAAAATTAAAATAACACTCTCTAATATTGCTGCAGACTGAGATTCTTGCTATGTAGGATTCCCACTGTTGTTAGTGAGGTCCTTATGTCCCTGCCTATGACTGGTGTTTTCTGAGTGTTCAAAATTTTTCTTTTACAAGCAGGGGCATTTATATCTTGGCTAGTGAGCTCAGAAGCCACTGTGAAATACCTGTCAGGGAATCATTTGTTGAGAGATTTTATTTCCTTTGGAATTAAGTCCTTGTTCAGTAGGTGAAGAATTTCTCAAGCTTCCCTGGGTGTGGTAAATAACTATTGTCTCAATTCTAATACAACATTGCAGAAAGTCCTCCAGCAAAAAGACAAGAGAATGAAAGTATGTCCTTCACTTAAAAAAGTCTTTAAAATCTGCAGCCAGTAACACCTGACTAGGAGCTTTATTCAGGTGCTAGGGCATTGCAATGTAAGCCTTCTTTAGTACTGTAATAAGCCGTGGGACCTGCTTACAGTACCTTTGTCCATCAGCTCGGTTATGGAGCTGCTAAAGGTGCAGGGCAGGTGGGAACCAGCCTTTTTGCCAGGCAGTTGTCTGGAAAAGCAAAATGTAAACCTCCAGCAAGGCTAGATACACTTAGAACATTCAAAATTGGTTTTGTCTGTTCATTTTGGCTGTAGCTCATGTAAGAGCACTCACTGCTGAAGGGACAGATGTCGGACATTACACAAATGTACTGCATTATGCTTTATCAGTGTAATACAGGATTTTATACAGGACTTATACCAGTTTAACCAAAATTAGAGGGATGCATACAGCTTCTTAGTTCAAAAGGGTATATGTGAATCACAGGGTCGGCACTGATTCATCTCCTGGTTGCAAGGGGTGTTTTTGAAAAGACTGTCCTTAATCTGCTGTTCTGTGTTCCTCATCAGACTACTTATTTCTCCCCTCCCAGGGCCACCAGCCAGCCCACAAAGCACTCTTGCCAAGGCCCTGGCAGCGGGCAGCGTGCGCATTTCCTCACCACAGCCTGCTGCCTGTTCTCCCATTCATTCCGGAGACCTTCCGCTGCCCACCAACACGGCGACTGCCGCTCTCAAAACTCCGACCACCAGAGCCTCCACCCCAGCCAAGCCACGTGGAACCAGCCCCTGTGCGTCCCCCAAGCTGATCCCTTCCTCCAAAATGTCCATCAAATACTGGGTTACAAAGACTCCGTGCTCTTCTCCTCCAGAAGTGGAGAAAAAGGCTCCTTCTCCTAGAAAAGCCCTGGCAGAAGTCTCTCAAGTCACCCAGGATCTCCTGGAAGCTGCTTGCCCTCCTCAAGTCCTACACTCACAATTTGAAACTCGTGCCAAGAGAAGGCTTGACTGCAGCAAGGACGCTGATGCAGGGCAGAAGTGTCCGCAGGGCTGTAGCTGTGTGACTGAACTGGACAATGCAGATAAGAAATCCAATCTGAATTTATGTCACTTGGTTCCAGACCAAAAAGCTTCTGATGAAGATTCTCTCAGCCTGGCTGACTTGTGTAACGACCATGAAGGCTCCAGCCACAGCCCAAAAGAGCCTTCCCTTTCTGGAAGCCATACTAATCCATCAGGCATTCAAACTTCCGCCCGTCTTTGCAGATCTCCACGTGGGCAAGACACTGAGGTAGTAGATAAAGAGAACAGTTCTCCTGAAAGAAAAAATTGGTTGTCTGCTCTGGGAGCGAAGCTACAGATTGGCAGAGCTGGCAGCCAGAGCACATCAAACAGCCCCCTGTCATCCTGCAGTCCTGGTGCCAAAAGACAGGCCACTTCACCGAAAACTGTAAGTAGGGCAGCCAACAACTGAAGTAAGTTCTCCCTAGCTGCCCCTCTCCCTTTGTTTGTTCCCGCCTGCTCAGACACAAAGAATTATCTGATCCCTTTGACTATGGACAAAAGAGATGATTTCTGGCCTAATAAGCTGGATACATTAATGCTGTTATCTGCTAATCCTCTCCACGCAGAAACAGAATTTTTATGATGTGTCCTTCATTTTCAAGGGACTTAAGGCACACAGGAGCTCAGAGATCCTTGCAGCTCCCAGCTGGATGTTTGGAGGATGTAGCCATCTTAAGAGGAGCTCTGCTCTGAGAGGCACAATAATGCCAACAGCTTTCCTGGCAGATCTCCTGTTTATGTGTTCACCATCACATCTGCCTGTTTACGTTACTGGAAAGCCACTTAAACATTGGAAGAAAGAGCTAAATTCTCTTCCAGCTCAGGTAGCAAAAGAATTTGTTGCCCGTGTTAAAACTGTGGGGCATTAAATAATGCCCTTCAGTTCCTTCAATGGAAAACTAGAAGAAAACAAGAAGTGTGCAAGAGTGAGAGGGCAGGATTTGACCTACATCATCCTACTTTTGGTGTACAGGAAGGCTGAGACAGAGCTCATCCTAGGATCTGAAATTAAAGTTAAGCTTACAAAGCAGCTAAAAACATTGATATGAGGGCTTTACTAGGATATTACAATTACATTTTTTAAAACAAACCCAACTTGACTTATACCTGCAACTGGACTCCCAAGTCCTCCAGTGTCTTTGACTGAGTCTCATTTCAGTAAATGTTAGGTAAATTTTCAGTCATCCAATTTTAGTTGTACTCTTGAATATCTGATGCTAAAAGTTGTTGCCATCACTGGGGTTTGTCTCATTTCTTACCTGATTTCATCCCTTCCAGCACTTCCACCAGATACAACCTGGGCAAACCACTGGTCCTGAAGTTATTCATAGCAGCTGGACCCTTCATGTTGTAGTTGTACCAAGAAAGCTTGGTGATAGGAAACCTACAACTACTTGTGACTACTTGTGCTTTATGCTGTATGTGTTTAAACACAAGACAGAGAGATTTTCCCTGGAGAGAGATTACAATAGAACAATTACCTTTCCTGCCCAGTATGCTCTGGTTCAGATTTTGGGATGCTCCTGTCTTGTTCTCATAGCCTGAGGAGATGCCAGGAATACCCAACAGCATTCATTGCATTCGCTGAATCTTGGAAATCTGTGGCTCTCTTACCTGCTGTAGGGAAGCTGAAACTGCAGCTGGAGTGCATTTTTCATGGCAGTGGGACAACCCTAGGATTTAGACAGCATTGTAGATAGTGAGCCTCTTACCTGTGAGACAGATTGTAGTAAAGAACCTTTCATTTACTCTCTTAGTTGGGAAGCCGAGCAAACTGGGGCAATGATGGAGTGGGAACTTGAGACTCCTGCAGCATATGAGCTGTTAACCTAAAAATGTTTCATGCTAGTTTTGCTTTTATTTCTTGCTAGGCTGCAGCTACTTGTTTCCGTGAGGAAGATCTGCACATACTTCCACAGAAAGACACAGAATGACTGAAACAGCGTGTGGCGCTTACACCTGAGGGATGTTGACACCAACGTATCAAGACCAGACTTAACAATGCCAACAACAATGCACCAGGATTACACAATTTGTTGTCAGACCTTCATAGACTTGAGGGTTTATTCTTCTCATTGTTGAAGCTGTTATCAGTTGAAGTGAATTGAGTCAGACCTTCACAGACTTGAGGTTTTGGTCTTCCCATTGTTAAAGCTGTTACCAGGTGAAGTGAGTTGAGTGTGTAAAATCTACACAATACTTACTTGTGGTCTCTTCAGGACTTAGGGTATGTGGTTTTTCATAAACAAAGTATTTTTTACATGGCAACTGTTCTAGTCCAAGGACAGACACAGCTCTGCTGTGTATTGTTGACAGGCACATATAACTTGTCAGTTTGTTACTAAATCTGTTCAAACTGTTACTAAAGCTGTTCAAACTACCACTGCTCCTGCTGGTTCTCATTTATATTATCTCTGATTTATGTACGGCCCAGTGTCATGGATTGACCCTGGCACAGTGCCAGTGCCCCCATGAAAGGTGTATTTCCAAAATGGTTACTGTGAGATGTGACCTGGAAACAGAACAAAGCAGGCTTCAACTTGGGAATGGAGGGGAAAAAACAACACTTTATTAATCTACAACATAGACACAAAAGGAAAAAAAAGAAAAAAACCACACACAACAATCCACAATGGAACACCTCCAAAACACTCTTCCTCCCCCCCACCCCTCTAACACTTAAATCCCCTCTAACACTCTGTTCTCAGTCCAATACCATCCTCCACACAAGCTCCCCCCAGTTCATCAGGAGAGAGGAGTCTCCCTCTTGCACCATGGGCCTCCCCAGGAAACACAGTAGAACTTCTGTGCTTCCATGTCACACACGGCAGCTGCTTGAAGAGAAATCTGCCATGGTGACCATCTTCCTTCCATGTCCAGTGCTCTCACCACTGTCCATGGATCCAAACTGCTTCTTAGGTCCTTTTAAGAATGCTTTTCGCCCAGTTCCAAGAAGATGGCCTTCTCTCACCATTTGGGATGCCTGTCCCCCCCATATTCACTCCCCTGGGGCCTGGGGCTCAGGAACAGAGATTCTTCGCTGAAGGCCGAGGGCTCCACCACACCCTCCCCCTCAGTCTCTGTTCCCTCTACTTCTCCTCATGGCTTTGTCACTCCTGGCTTCCGCCTCCCCCAAGGTGCAGTCTCTGCATTAAAGGAAGAAATTGGTTCCATCTCGTGGCCATGTAAGAGAAAAAGTCCGGCCCAAAGCCACTCCAATCATCTCCTCCATCTCGGGCGCTTCTCATCTGCTGACATTTCTTCACCTACTCAAGCCTTCTTCTTCTTGCCCATCCTCTGTCCCCTCTCCGTTCTCAGCTGAGGAGGATCAGTGTTTTTACAGCTTCCATTGTTTCAACACCAAAGGGGTTAAAAGCTCAGCTCGCTCTGCCAGCGACTGGGCACCTTGCCCCCCTCCCCCCCGCCCCAACCCTTCTTCTCCTGGCCATGGTGCTGGCACAAGATATTAAATTTCAAGCCAGCACAGTCTCTATCATTCTCTCCCCGGGGGGGGGGGCTGCCCAAACCATCCCAGGTCTCCTCCACCCCTGCCTCTTGCAGGGGCTCCGGCCTCCCTTCCCTCAGGCCGCATGGCCTCCCCCTCCCCCACCCAGATGCAGCTGGGCAGGGGAGAGGTCAGATCAACTCACCGGCCAGACTCAAAAGAGAAAATCCCTCCGGGAATCCTCTGCTTTTAACCCCTGTGTGTTCTCAGAGGCATATCCAGGTCCCCAGTGGCCACACCAGGTGCCAGTTTTCAAATCTGGCCACTGATTGGTTTGACCATAACTTTCCCAGAAACTCACTTCCTGGTCAAACCACGACACCCGGACTACAAGAAATAAAATACGTTGTGCTACTATAGAGCATCCATGTGTTGTCCTTCAAAGAACAGCTTTACACATAACGAACTGGTCTTCATCTGCACTCCACAAAATGCCAAATACAATGCAAAGCATGGGTTGAGGGGAAAGCAAACAGGAAAGAGTCAATACGTAATTTCTTCTAAAATTACTCAAACATTTCATGACAGTTGTTTTATAGAATAATACATTGTTGATATGAGGACAGCATGAGCCCAGAAGAAAAAAAGCAAAATTGCAATTGAAGATAACCTTTAAATTTTAAGCCTCATTCTGAGTTCCATATTTTTCTAATCAGAATAACTAACTTTCCATCTTCATTGATGCTTTATGGAAAAATTCCAGGGACTAAAAGTACAGCAGGAAGACACATTACTCAAGTCTTGTGCAGCTAGACAAAGACTCCAAGATCAGAAAGCATTATGTGTAATGAAGTCTGAATATCCCATCTTAATTTTTCCATATAGTTTTTTTAACTCTGCTGAGTCTATAACAGTTCTTATTTTTGAAGTTGCTCAGTTTTGATTTAAATGCCTTGCATGATTTCAGGTCCATTACAATTGTACATTAATTGTTCTAGAGTTGAGATACTGTGAAAAGACTGACATTGAATTTGTTTAGCTTTGTCTTTTGCCTGTTAGCTCAGGTTACTCACTTTTTAGTCTGGGTTACAGATATTTATACTACATTAGATCTTCTATCCTATTTGTAGAAAGCCCAAACATAAGACAACCACCTTGTTCTCTTCTTTCATGAGCTAAAGAGATTCTACATGCAAAATACAAAACAGCCATTGAAGTGCTTCATTCCTTCACATTAAAGAACCACAGTAGTAGCTCCACTTACATTAACACCAAAGCCACTCTCTGTCTTTACTTCACTCAGATTTATGGTTTACTTCTCTTGTCTGAAGAATCCTTTGGCAAAGCATCTTCAACCACCCACTTCTGTGCCATCCCTGGATTTTTTCGTTTGGGTCATAAATTATGTAACTCCCTGGTTGCCTCATAAGTGTGCTCTCACGTTGTATTGTGAGTGACGCAGAGGAGGATATGGGCACAAACCCAAGCAGCAAAGACAAGGCTGACCTAGGAGAGCTGATAATTCTTACATCCACGTGCCTATAACTGTGACAAATCTGTTTTGGTTGGGGTTTTGTCCCTCTAGTTGTAATATCATTATGAAAAAAATACCAGTTTATTCTCCTATACCTGTTCTTGCCAGAGGTGTTAAGTATCCAAAAACCAGACTACTGATAGTCTGTGTGACTGTAAAGCCAGCTCCAGCAACAGCCAGGTAGGCTGTGTTGACAGGAGTTTAGCAGATACAGTCAGAGTGTATTAGTGAATTATTCAGTGTCGCTATTATTTTTGTTCTGCTGATTTTCATAGATTCACTGACAGAGGAAGTGATAGTTTGTATACTGAGATCAAGAGACCTGTGACTGGCATAACTGCAATGAGTTCTTGTTTGCTTGAATGGACTGATTTGCTGCTGGTACCTGACAGCAAGGCAATTATATGAAAATTGGAACTGTTACATCATAAGGAATTGGCTGTTTGTACACATCCAGTTGTTTGAAGAAGCAGGACTGGAAGAGTGATAAAGAGAAAGCTGATGTTTGCACAAGTTAGTAGGGGGAAAACAATCACTGTAAGTGTGAAAGAACAAAGTTCATTGCATAAGACAGGCAAGTGTCTGGAGAAACTAATACTCATCCAGTTGTTACATGCTTAGAAGAAAGAGCAGGGCTTGGGAGGCCCATGCTGCACCTTTCTATCAGACTCACATCTATATACTCCTATTTTTTTCCCTCTGTGCAAAGGGACAGCTGTCCATGCTTGCCAATTCATTCTGCTTACGAGAGGGTGTGAATTTGCAGGCTGTTCCTAATTCTTCTCTTTGTGGACACTCTTCTTCCACCTGTTTTGATTTAACCCAATCAACTCCTGAAAATAAGTCAGTTTTGAGATGACACAGTATGGAGATCAATCGAAATGAGGTTTTCTTGTTTCAGAATAAGCCTGAATAAGTTTCAGGTTTTGCACTGGGTTGCTCAGAAACAGCTGTTCTGAAAGAACAGCTATTCAAACAGCCCTATAGTAACTCCACTATGGAGGTGAATCTAGAAGAAAGTAACGCAAGACTGCTGGGGGAGTGGTATAACATTAAAGTAAGGATATTGTCAAGCATGAAGGCAGCAGGGAAAAAATTGTCCATGGAAATTAATTTCTTAACTTCCTCATCTCAGCACCCCCAGCCATACCCATTAGAAAGCATGACACAGAGAAGGGCTCTGGTTTTGAGTCACACAGCCTATGGTTTGGCTGTCGATGTGCTTCTGCCCATCAAGGGCTGAAGGGACCCCTGCTGCTGCTCCTGTTTTCTGGCGGCAGAGCCCTCCTCACCGCTCTGCCGAGCGAGAAAGAATTGCACTGCCTATGGATTTGTACAAAGCCGTGCTGCTCTGTTTTCCTGCCGCATGCTGCCCCATGGAACCGCGGGAATTCCCGCAGTGGCCGCGTTCCTTGCCCCAGAGGGTCCGTGGGGCTGTGCCTGCATCCCCGCGCCTCCCCTACTGTGGCACAGCCCTGCCCCGCAGCCGCCACCCGCTTCTGTCCCCGCTGCTGCCCCTGAGGGCCCTACTGGGTCCCCTACTGTGCTCACGCAGCTGAAGTGCTCGAAAAGCCATGTTTTGGCCGTGCTTTTATGGGCTTGCTGTGCACCCAGCAGGGACACCACCTTGGACCACCCTTACCACAGGGCGTGCGTGCAGCCTTCCTTTTCATTTTCTCCCTGGGAGACGGAGAAGAGTGAGTTTTAAATACAATGCTGCGAGTTCAATGCTGCTAAGCAGAGCCTGTCTGATTGCAGATGCAGCTGGAGCTCCTGGCTTAGTCCTGGCACAAGCAAGTTAAGGACAAAAGGTCTTCGCTCCTCTTATGCAAAGAGACAATTTCTGTGGCAGCTGAGGGCAGTATTAGTATTCATGCCTTGGCTGGTCTGGCAGCAAGGCAGCTAACTTGATATTAACTGTGGCACAATGACTGAGGTTTATGGGCTGTTTCTTAATAT